GAACCCCTTGTAGCTTCACCTTAAGTGACAGCTTTTTCTTAATGGGCTTGTGTGTGCCTGTCCTGTAGATGCTTCTTCGTGAAGCACAAAACCCCACCCTATTCTGGCTGGGGACCCTGGTACCTTTCAGGCGCAATTCTTCCTGAGGTTGTACCTTCTGACGGCCCAGGCACACAGCTGCAATGTATCCTTGTTTTCCGCACGCCTGGCAGATAGCGGAGCGGAACTTGCAGTCGGCTCTCTTGTGGCGACCTCCACAACTGATGCACTTGGGGAGAGCTGAAGAGCTTCCTCTTGGTTTTCCTTCCTTTGTGGGGTGGAGACGGTCCACTTCCTCATCTGGATCCTCCTCGGAGTTTCTTTGGACTTCTTCCTGGTGCACGGATGCAGCATCTGGACTGTTTCTGATCGGCCGCATGTTCTTGATGGCACCGCCCGCTGCTTCTTCTGTGGTGACCTCTCTCAAGGCATCTTGGAAAGACAAGTCCTCCTTGGCGAAAAGTCTCTGTTGCAATTCTCGATGCCTTAGCCCGCACACAAATCGGTCCCTCAGTCGTTCTTCGAGGTCCTTGAACTCGCAATGTTTGGCGGCTTTCCTCAGTGCAGTGATGTACTCCAAGGCCGATTCTCCAGGTCGTTGATCCCTCTGCTCGAAGGTGTGGCGCCACGCGATGACGGACATCTTAGGTTGGAAGTGCTCCTTCAGTAACTTTTTTAGATCTGCGTAGCTGATAGACTCTAAAGGAACAGGTGCTGCGAGGTTCTCAGCGATTTCGAATGCGTCTTGACCGCAAACGCACAGCAGGGTGGCAGCCTTCAAGCTCTCTTCCCTCACCTGGTTCACTTTGAGGTAGTTTTCCACCCTGGCTGCGTAGGACTCCCACCTCTCTGGGTGTGAGACGTCGAATTCCGAAAGCCTTCCAATATTTGGCATTTCGTATCAGGAAGGGTCTATCAGCCAGCCTACCCCCGAATGCACGCTGGATTGGCGGGTAGCTGCCGAGTCAATGCCGTTCCTGCCGCTCCGGACTCACTCGGGTAAGCTTACACCTTCTCTTTTCCGATGTAAGGCAATCCCATCCTCGTCGCCAGTGTTGAGTCCGTCGCGAAATGGTAAGACACGAGAAGCAGTTGTAGTTCTCAGGAAACCTTTATTCTTCAGTTCAGCTTACATTGGAATATGGCGGCAAAAGCCCACACCTCGCAGCCTCCTTTTATAGGACTTTCCCGGGTCAGTGTGTTACTTTTCGCGCACCAGCACTTGCACATGCGCACAAGCACTGGCGACAGCCTGTCTGGTCCCGGGCAGCTTGCACCTGCCCGGGACCGCCTGCAACGCCCCGAGCCCGCTTGCAAGGCTCAGGACATAACAAAAACCACATCTTCCTTCCCCTGTCCTTACACTTTCTACAGAGGGACGATCGAGGGCATCCTGTCATACAGCATTACAGTCTGGTTTGGAAGCATCACTGCTTCAGACAGGAAGGTGGTGCAGAGAGTGGTGAGGATGGCTGAAAAGATTATTGGCAGTTCCCTCCCTTCCATCCAGGACATGGCATATAAGTGTTGCTTGAACAGGGTCTGTAATGCTACATATCCTCTTCATGATCTGTTTTCCTTGTTACCTTCTGGGAGGAGGCTTTGGGGTATCCGAGGCAGAACATCCAGAATAAGTCATAGTTTTATTCCATACAGTATTAACTTTGTAAACTCTAAAGCTTCATCTTTTCACTGTGTATTCAAGATGGACAGTGATTAATACTATATGTTATTTATATGCAAGGGTGAAGGTTTATATATGCTGTATTTCCCCAAAAGTAAGGCCTACCCAAAAAATAAGCCCTCACTTGATTTTGGGGGGTGGGCCTAAAAATTAAGCTGCCCCACACACCTTGAACCCACTTACCTTGCACCCAGGCCTCTCCTCGCCAGCCCACTTCTTCTGCAGCGTCCTCAGACCTGCATTTTGCAGTCAGAGCCCTTTCTGGAAGGCCACTGTAGTTGAGAACCAAGCTATGGATTTAATCCATAGCTCAGTTCTCGGCTGCATTGACCTTTCAGAAAGGCCTTTGACTATGAAATGCAGGCGGAGCTCCATTCTCAGCTGCAGAATGAAGCTGCTCCTTCAGCCACAGAAGAAATGGGCAGGCTGGACCAGAGGTGAGTGAAAAAGACACACATATACCCCAAAATAAGACCTGGTGCCTCTTTTGGAGGCAAAAATAAAATTAGACCACATCTTATTTTCGGGGAAACACAGTATGTTGTATATAGCATGTTTAATTGTGTGTTATGTACTGTATATGTACACTTTTGAGAGCAAGCAGCAAAGTTTCATTTTTAATGTGTGCCAATGTGCCCACAGTAAAAAATAACAATAAAGGTTATCTATTCTATTCTCTATGTTTAAGCAGACATATGAGAGAGCAGGCTGCCCAGAAAATGGATGGTACCTGTGCTGCTTTCATCTCTTCTTTTTAAGCCCTCTCACCACCAGCAGCAACTTGTCTATAAAAGCTTTGCTGTGAAACAGCTGAAGATACATGTGGGGGATAGAAGGAGATGTCTTTGTGTGTGGAAGTAAAGCAACTTAAAGCAGTTGGAAAGGAATGTTCTTCTCTAGCAGCATGCACAAAGACGAATAGCAGGAATAGCAATAGCAGGAGGAAGATTAGCAATGGGAAAGAGTGGAGATACTGAGTTGTGAATAATAGTATGTGAGAGCTTGTATGTATTGTCTAGGGACATGTGTTTTTGCCTATTCTGTTGGAGTCTTGAGCCAACCAAACTGGGTATAAATTAAAAGAATTCATCACAGGGATGATAAAAGAGGGATATCTAAAACAAGATGAGATATCCAACATAAGATAGTATCAAACTCAAGGAGTTCATTAAGTACTCTGTATCAAAAGAAAACAAACCTTAGCTACAAAAGGAAGAAAGTTTGGCCCTTGCACATCTCAGACTTTGCAGATAATAATTAACATCCTGACTTCAGAAACCAGACTTATCACTAGAGATTACACCAAACAGGGATGGAAAAAATAGACCAGCAAGACACTGTCTCCCTTAGATACAGAAGAAGCTACTGCTTTGGTAGAGACAGGTATCTACTTCATGCCTGCAATTAAGCAAAGTAGATAGACCATCCAAAAAAGGGTTTAGGCTCAGATATTTGAAGCAAAAGAAAGAGGAAAAGTTTATGTTAATTAAAAAAGAGAAAGAAGAGCAGCTTTGGAAGGAGAAAAAGGAAAAGTAGGCAAAAATGAGAAGTGTGAGAAGCAAGAAAAGAGTTTAGGGATCTGATAAAGGAATCCAATCATTAGAAGGGGCATATTCACATCTAGGGTTTTCAGAACATGTTGAGAGGGAAGGTGGTCCCAAAGATATAAAAATTTCTAACTTAACAGAGGAAGAAGATATAAAAGCCTATTTTATTATATTTTACTATATCTGAAAGATTGCTACCTCTTGCAAATGGGAATGAAACTGGGAGTGATCTGAGAGTGAACAGGCGGCCAGATGTATAACAGAAAACGCTTTGGAGGTCTATAATGGTCTTCCAGTTAGGAAAGTAATGGATTATTATCATATTAAAGAGGTAATTCTTATACAGGTACAATATAATTCCTTATAGGCAGAGATTTAGGAGCTACGCATATGACAAACCTGAAGGATTTGTGAATTGTGAACAAGATTGGAAGAAAATGTTTGAGGCCAGATAAAAGGAGCAAAAAAAAAAATGGTAAAAGAAGTAATTTTAGAACAGTTTCTACGTCTACAAAAGTCCATTATTGTCTTGCATTTTATTTTATTTTATTTTACATTTGTTTGTTTGTTTGTTTGTTTAATTAATTAATTTGATTGATTGATATCCTGTCTTTTTCAAAGAAGCTTGCTTTGTACATAACATTTCCTCTCCCAGCTTTTCCTACAAAAATAATTATCCCAGTGGCAGCTGGACTGAACAATAGGATGGTTCAAAACTACCCACTAGGTTTCCATGGCTGAGAGGTGATCTTGAAGCTGGGTTTTCCCAATCCTAGTTCAGCAAAATAACCACATTGTCTGACATTCTAATTTTACAGTGGCCAACCAGATTTCATGGTGAAGCTCAGAAAAACATGACTACCATAGTTTCCAATTTAATTTCTCCAGCCACTGATATGCTGAGGACTATACTTGAGATAGTATGTAATTATCAGGACTAGTAGCCTTCGATGCCTTGTTTTCCAGGAATTTATATAATTCCCCTTTGAAATAATTCATAACTATTATCAAGCTCCGTTGCCTTTCCATTGCTTAAAAAAGATTAGATTAAAAAAATCTAAAAAGTCTCTCAAACATATAGCTCTTTTTCATAGGGGCTTGATCCAGCCTATAATTATTTTAGAAGCCTTATTTACATATTTGTCATTTAATTATGTATTTATTAAAACATTTGATAAGTAGTCATCTACCTAGATTCTAAGGATGGTTTAGAAAATAGAAAAATAATGCAACAATTATATATACTATTTAAAAACTTGCATAAAAATATGTTCCATCATTTCCATCTTACAGTTTCTTTCCAAGTTGCATTTCATATGGGTTCATACAGAAAATTTATATAACACGTACAGTAAGGACTTTAATATCATGTGGCGACTACTGGTTGGAGATGAGCAAATATATTTTTCTGTTCCATACTACTAGCCTTCCTCCAGGAAATTCTATTTCATCCCTCTCACTCACAGATTTTCTTTCTCATTCTTCAACTGTCAACCAGCAATCCATGGCTGTCAGTGAATGGAGGAAGAAATCTTTCTTAGAGATCATTTGTTTAAAAATCAATTCTTCAGATTCATTCAATCCTTTCTAAATCTCCTGATATTTCCCAGTTGAGTGCAAATGTTGCTGTTTAAGTTACATAAATATCAGTACTCCCCTATACACTGTAGGAATAGAAATAAATGGATTAACAAGCTGGACAGATAGCACTCATCTTCCCCACTCCTTACCCTTCAAGAAGACATTGGTAGGTTGCTATTTCCTGTTCCAGTCTGTTTTTAATATCCATCAGTCGCTTGTAATCCTCAGCTTGATTCTGGGCATCCAATTTCAGTTGCAGCAGCTCTGCCTCCCGGGCAGCCACAAGATTTTGTAACTGTGATAACTCCAACCCATAATGGGATTCCACCTCAGTCAGAGTCCCCTCAAGGGCTTCTTTCTAGGAACAAGAAAGATTTTTGTTTTTCTGAAGATGCTAAATCTAAAGATGCTTTGCGGGCCCAGGAAAAGCAGAGGGTAGATGGAGAGAATAGAAACTTGAGTCCAGCTTACCAACATGACTTGGTTTCAAGAAGATATTATAAAAGTCTACACAAATGCTTAGCAGAGAATACCGGCTAATGATATCTGGAGTAAGCAGTCTTAGACTGTTTTTAATAAAATAATTTGGAAGCCTGCCTATTACAAGGAAAGTATCTTGTACATAATTTTTATTTAAAGGAACCTTTCAAGGCATTCTTAAAATATAAAAACAGGAAGCCTGCCAGTCTCATTCTTGGAGACAGACAGCATCTTAGGAGAGATGGGGTGTAAATCAGCCTCCTAAATAGTAACTTTGTGAAAATGTTCATAACCTGCTCTAAAACTTCCAAATATGTCCATTGATGCCTAGTATTGAGATATTCCTTCTTTGGTCATGAGAGAACTAAGTTCATACTAAATTTTAGTCAGTAACACTACTTCTGCATTTGAACTTATAGCATCCAATCCACAAATTTGAAAACAACTGGAACTGACCATGCTCCACAAAGACTGTAGCTCAATCTCCAAAGCCTGGGCCAACCGTTTCAACTCCACCATCTTCATCTGAGCACTCTGTAGAGTTTCAGTGCTGACAGAAATCTCCTGATTGAGTACATCACACTATGAAAGAGAGGAGAAGTTATACATTAGATATTCTAACCATATTATCCCCCATACAGAGAATAGGAATCTTTTGGAAATTGGGATTATTATTTGCATATGAACAGGTCTGGCTATGCTGTACATTGCTCAATTGTTCAGCTTTCAATCTGTCTAACAATTAAAAAAGCTTTTGACCAGGATTCATATAGATTATATTTGATCAGAAATCTCTGTTGACTTCTAACAAAGCAGAATCAAATATCAAGGCAGACCTTGGCCAGTGACATTTATTCATTCATTCAATTATCTTGAATTATAAGCTATCTTTCTGTTCAAACTCGACCAGCATCTGAAAAAGATGTGCATATGCATGTGTCTATAATTAAAATGAATCAGATCAAAATTCTCTACTAAGATCATTCAACTTTTGATGCAATCCTTCCAACATTTGTATAGTTTAATAATCCAGCCTAATGCAGATGAATGCTATGCTTGTTTATAATATCATTGGCTTGACTTCAGTTGGCTATGAGGCATTTACAAGTAGATTGATTGCAAGACCATTAATCCTGCTGCAATTTATTGCCAATTTGCCCTTAGCTGGATTTTGAGATTTCGTAATTACCATCCAAAAAATATTTGATGCCTAATCTTAACAGTTACAAAAACTAGAAACATGGGATTTTTTGTTGTTTGAATGGAAATGTTTTTGAATATTCTAGATTTGCAGAGTAGGACTGGAGAAGTTGCAGAAACTGCTCTTCCTGGAAGCTGCATGTAAAATATTTGTCTTCTTAAAAGAGAAAAAATATCTGGCTTGGGTCTCAAGGTTGTTTCCCTCATCAACCTTGGTTGCTACCTCTGTAGTCTTCTTCTTCTTCTTCTTCTTCTTCTTCTTCTTCTTCTTCTTCTTCTTCTTCTTCTTCTTCTTCTTCTTCTTCTTCTTCTTCTTCTTCATCATCATCATCCTCAGCCTCAGAAATAGCTATTTGAATCTGAGTAGAAGGAAAGAGTGCCTAGAAGTATTACATACAAGGGTCTATGTCGTCTCCATGATGTCTAGGCACACTACTGTTGAAGCAAGACAGCATAGCTTCTCCTTCCATTCCATATACCTAAACACAGACAGCAATGAGACCACATCTTAATTATACCTGAAGGCAACCGGCTGAATAGAGTGTGAAGTGGAATGTATTCTGGAGTCCCGGGAGGAACAGGCTCTTTCCCAGAAAGCAAAGAAAGCAGAACTTGGACTATCTGGCAGGCAAGAAGAGGGAAAGCGTGGACTGTCCCTAGCTATTCACAGGATATATCTATAGTTATGCAGATAATTGCCTTAGTCTGACAAGATTCTATTTGTAAGTGAACAACAATTAAAAAAACTATTCAGAAGTCATTCCACATGTTATACTTGGCTTTTTTGGACCTTACAGATATCAGCTGGACCATTACATAGTACATAGCAGTATCATCCAAAATCTCATTCCTACCTCCTCACAGCTTGCATCAGAGGAAATTGTGCATGCATTTTAAGCATAAACATATATGCTTAAGAGGAAAAACAGAAACTTATATTTTCCCTTATTTCTATCAACCATATGCCCTCTTTCTGAGGACACTTTTCATGTGGTAGTGTAAAAGTAACAACATAAAGAGGAGGAAATGAAAACATTTAGGATGAAGGCCTAACAAACGGTATAAATAAAAAGTCTTTACTATATCAGAGAAGGGAAATACTTGAGAATGAAAGACATGTTCCTATGATATGAGAATTCAGCCAAAACAAATTTCTTTTATTTTTATATCATGCTCTTTCTAGCTCTTACAGACATATATAAGCTCAAGCTCACTTAATGTTTGCACATTTCAATATTTTGCTTTGCCAAACCTTTCCTCACCTGGGATTGATGCAAAGCTTCAGCTTCCTGACAATTCTTCTCCATGACACCCTCATACTGGTCACGGACCTCAGCCAGGACTTTTTGTAAATCAGTGCCAGGCATGGAGTCAACCTCCACATTGACAGTGCCTCCTAGATGCCCCTGGAGAGAAGCCACCTCCTATGGCATGAAAAAAAGTTCAGATGTAACAAAAAAACCAGTCAAATATCATCAGGGAAAGAGCTGGATGGCAATATACAGCAACCAGCAATGCCACAACAAAATATTAATTACATGAAATTAAATAAAATTGTCATAGGTGGGCCCTGCAAAAAAAAAGTTGCATTGGAGTCCTTGAATCACTTCCTGCTTCATCACTGAAGGGTTTCAAAGACTGGATACCATGAAGGAATGTGCATTCTCTTCCTTCTGGGAATCCAGATCACATTCCATCAGATAGTCATTTGTCTGGGATGGCCTAAGGCAGTGTTTCTCAACCTTGACAATTTTAAGGCATGTAGACTTCAACTCCCAGAATTCCATAGCCAGCATTGCTGGCTGTGGAATTCTGGGAGTTGAAGTCTACATGCCTTAAAATTGTCAAGGTTGAGAAACACTGGCCTAAAGCTTCCTGCCCTGGACAGAGGGTTGGATTAGAAAACCTCCAAGATCCCTCCAACCCTAGGATTCTATAATTCTGTGGTTCTACAAAAAAAATCCTCAGCAGTATTCCAGTCAGCAACATGCCTTGTTTTATGCTTAATTATATTTAAAATGGGAAGATAAGCAGGGAAGTGAAAGTAAAGCAAGCAAAACAAAATAGAAAGAAAAATCAGGATTATACAGAGGTTCTAGAGCATTTTGAATTTGATTCCAAGATGCTTCAGGAACTGGGGATGGGGGAAACACAAACAGGAGACTGAAATGCTTTAAAGGACTGCATCTTTTCCCTGGATCATGAAGTTGACTCCAGCTGCCACATGCAACTGAAATATAAACTACGTAATTCTGCTATGGGCTTCTTCACATCGCCTGCTTAAGCTGCAAAACTTCTATACCATATGGAAATGAAATTGGCTGTCAAATTAAACATTTATAAAAGAAAGACCCTTGACTTCATTTGGCTGAAGTGATAGGTTCTGCCCCCCCCCCTTAACAGGGACATCAGTCCTGCGGGAAAAAGGGAGAGAAAATATAGAATGATTAGTTAGTTTTCAGTGGAGTTTATCTCAATATTTGTTGTGAAACCTGCAAAGGCGTTTTGGGGCTTGGACATGCTGAGCATCTACCCATTCTTCTCCGAAAGAGGAAAGTCCTTCCATGTATTGGATTTTTCCTTTGTGTTTACGAGACTCTAAAATCTCCTTAATTTCAAAATGTTGCTCACCTTCAATCAAAATGGGAGTAGATGGCAGTTTTGTTGCAGGGTGTAGGGGAGAAATAATTGCTGGTTTCTATAGGCTACAGTGAAAAGGGGGCCAAATACTGTATAGTTGGGCAATCCATTCAGCCAGTGATGTGGTTTGTGGTTTGGTTTGGAGTATTCAAGCATAGATACAATGTCCTGCCCAGATATGATTTTAAAGGGGGTGAAACTAGTGCTGCTATGCACTGAGTTATTGCAGGCCACCTCCACAAAAGGGTGGAGATCAGCCCAATTGTCCTACTGGTAGTTAATAGCATCTCAAGTACTGCTCCAAGGTGCCATTCATATTTTCACACATACCCCCATTCATCTGAGGATGATGGGAGGAGCTAAGCCTGTGGGCTGTGCCAAGTAACTTTAGGAACTCCTGCCAAAATTGCAAAATAAATTGAAATTTTGCAATCTGAAATGATGCATTCTGGGGCTCCATAAGTCTATACAAGTGTTGCAAAAACAGCTTGGCCAAAGTGCATGCTGAGGGAATTTTAGAGCATGGCCCAAATGTACTTGTTTGGAGAAAAGATCCTTTATCAGTCAAATTACTGTATTTCCTGAGCTTTCCAGCACTCCCACTGTAAAATCCATAGAAATATCCTTCCAGGGCACTTGGGGCTTTCCCACTGCTTGGAAGAGACCTGGGGTCTTCTTCGGGTATCTTTTAGCTGATGCATAGATAGGGCAGCTGGTCATGTAGGTTTCAATGTGTTTTTTCAGTGATGGCCACCAGAATTGACATCTCACAAGGTGTTGGTGTTTTTACAAAGCCAAAAGCATCCCGCCATTTTTGAGTCGTGGGTTTTCTGCAGGACCATGATCTGTTGGTTTTCTGGGATGTACAGTTTGGCCATCACGTAAAATGTAGTCAGCTTTATGGGCTTTGAACCACTTGTCTTTTTCTAATGCCACTTTTAATGCTATAAGCAATTCATCCGGTATCTGCAAAGTGAGTTTCCCTTGCCCTCTAGTGATGGCTGGGGCTGCTAACTGTTGGGAGGGTATGACTGGTCTGATGACTTCAATTTCAGATCTATTACATTGGAGTAACCTCCAAAGGGCATCACCTAGCATCTTTTCTCCTTTAAATTGGAACTTTGTATAGACCCATTAGAAAAAAATAAGATTCTTTTAACTTATGTTTCTTATTATTTAGATTCCAAACTCATTATGTTTCTTATTATTTAGATTCCAAACTCAGATAGCCTAACAAAAGGAAACAACATGATAAACATTTGTTTTCCAGTAGACATGTAATTACCAAGTTCTTCTATTAAAGACTGGGTGATAACATTGATCTAGGAAGTGTATTATTTAACTCGTATGTTTAATATCATGGACAAATTTTTCACACAGCTATATCCATTCTTACCTCCTTGTGGTTTCTTTTGAGACAGGCCAACTCCTCTTTGAGATTGTCAGCTTGTACCTGCAAGCTAGCTCGACTTGCATTCAATTCTTCTAGGGCCTTTCGCAATCCCCCAAGGTCTCTTTCCAAAGGCAGGCGCATGGCTACCTCAGATTCCAGTCTACAAAAAGTAAAAGAGTCCACACAGCACATTTCTAACCATGGCTCTTTATGGCTACATAACTGAGAACTTCAAATGCTTGAGTCACCAGTCACTGTTGGGGCAAGGATCTAGGTCTTTAGCTAAAAACAATGGTCCTACCCAGATCTCCTCTAGTTAATCTCTCTTGGCTTGACTTCAGATGATATTAGATCTAGGGACAATTAAATAGACAAGGAAGATTACATCTTATAGCCATTCTGAACGTCTTTCTCATTCTTTCTCTGTTTCCCAAGCTTAAAGCATATTTCAGTTTTTGTAACTATTTCTTCATACCATACAATATTTTTTCTAGGGCCATTTTTATAGGAAGAAAGCTATAGGATATATAAAGTCTTCATAAGTCCAAATTGTAATCAGTCATGTTAAACGGGTCTAGTTAGATATTAATAGAACATGCAGAAATCAAGATTTTCTAACAATTATAAATATAATGCCATATTTAGTTCTGGTTTGGATATCCAATCAATATTAGCTGCTTTCAAAAGCCAACAAAAAAAGAAAGAGAAAGGAAAAGGAAAGCATTAACAGAAATGTATTAGCTATTATTTTTCTTAAACAGTCTTCAAAAAACTGAAGATTGGATTGGAACAAAAATTGCTTTAAATAATTGAGTAGATTTACAGATAAAAAGTTTTTGAGTGAATTATATTTAATACTAGACTGTCTGACCATTGGGTCATCATTTCAGAGACATTTCCTTATCAAGTTCCTCAATACCTTCAACAATTTTAATGTACTTGAAAAGTTCTTAAAAATACAGGGAGATGTTCAGATACCTTGAAAGTAGCTCATGTTGAACTGTATAGCACAGTCAAGCATCAGAAGTTAACCATAGAGAATGTTTTATGACATTTTGCATTATGTCATAAAATGCTTTATAAAATTGACAAGTTTCAATTCCATGTGAGTCACGGATCCCAGATTCTGGATACATTCTGTAAATTAGTCCCTTTGAGTTACCTTGATTGAAAAGGTTTTGCCCTATGATGCACCATTTCACTCAGTTATAGACAGTTTAGTATTATATCTTGCAAGCCAGCCATGGGAGACTCTGGTCCTCCATTTACGAACATACTAGAATTAAAAGGATATGAAGTCCCAACATGGCACTTAGGACCACCTGCGTGCTTAAGCACACCCTCTGTAGGCTGTCTGATGTATCTGATTTATGCATTTTAATCTCAAATACACACTTTTGTACATCTTCCCTTGGTACTTTTTTTCTGAAAAGTAAGTATATACAGTGCTGAATCCCAAGGATAACTGTATTGTGATCCACATATAAAAGAGGTGTGAAACTGGCTGATTTGCTTTAAAATGTAGACCGGATTAAAATATGAGCATCCCTACGTAAAATTCTGATCAGTAATTTGAGTGAGTCATCTTAATTTTAATTCTTCCCTGTTGGTAATATCTTTTCAATATTAAAATTTTCTTTAAGGTCACATTATTCATATTAGCTAGTCTATGAGTTGATAGAAAAGTATGTCACCATCAATGATAAATGATAATTGAATAAGAAAAAAGTCCTATCTAGTTATCATTTCACAAATGCCTTTTTGCAGCCTGTATAGCCAACAGCCCTGGCTTTGTTTGTTATCAGCTATAATAGGTACTCACATGGAGGGGAGGGGGGAATTAACCATGTTTTTACCTTATATCTGTTATCTAAATTGTTGATTTAAAAAAAATAATATTTAATAATAATAATAATAGTAATAGTAAAGTTGGAAGGGACCTTGGAGGTCATCTAGTCCAACCCCCTGCTCAGGCAGGAAACCCTATACCATTTCGGACAAATGGCTGTCCAATCTCTTCTTAAAAACCTCCAGTGTTGAAGCATTCACCACTTCTGGAGACAGGTTGTTCCACTGGTTAATTGTTCTAACTGTCAGGAAGTTTCTCCATAGTTCTAGGTTGCTTCTCTCCTTGCTTAGTTTCCACCTGTTGCTTCTTGTCCTGGCTTCAGGTGCTTTGGAAAATAGCTTGACACCCTCTTCTTTGTGGCAGCCCCTGAAATATTGGAACACTGCTATCATGTCCCCTCTCATCCTTCTCTTCATTAAACTAGACATACCCAATTCCAGCAGCCGTTCCTTATATGCTTTAGCCTCCAGTCCCCTAATCATCTTTGTTGCTCTTCTCTGTACTCTTTCTAGAGTCTCAACACCTTTTTTACATCGTGGTGACCAAAACTGGAGGCAGTATTCCAAGTGTGGCCTTACCAAGGCATTGTAAAGTGGTATTAACACTTCACGTGATCTTGATTCTATCCCTCTGTTAATGCAGCCTAGCATTGTGTTGGCCTTTTTGGCAGCTGCAGCACACTGCTGGCTCATATTTAGGTGATTGTCCACTAGCACTCCGAGGTCCCTCTCACAGTTACTACTATTGAGCAAGGTACCCCCTATACTCTAGCTGTTCATTTGGTTTTTCTTGCCTAAATGTAGATCCTTGCTTTTTTCACCATTGAATTTAATTTTGTTAGATAGCGCCCAGTGTTCAAGTCTGTCCAGATCCTTCTGTATCTTAAGCCTATCTTATGGATATTGGCTATTCCTGCCAGCTTGGTGTCATCTGCAAATTTGATGAGTTCCCCATCTATCCTCTCGTCCAAATCGTTGATAAAGATGTTGAAGAGCACTGGGCCCAGAACACAGCCCTGGGGCACCCCACTACACACTTCCCTCCATGTAGATGTGGTTCCATTGAGGACCACATGCTGAGTACGGCCGGTCAGCCAGCTACGGATCTATCTGGTGGTGGTGCTGCCTACCCCACATTTTTCTATCTTGTCAAGTAGTAGGTTGTGATCTACTTTACCACATGCCTTACTTACGTCCAAGTAAATTATGTCCACAGCATTACTCTGATCCACTAATTTTGTCACTTGGTCAAAGAATGTAATAAGATTTGTCTGGCATGATCTATTTTTTTTTTATTAAAAATTTTTATAAATTTTTACAAAAAGACAAAAAAAAACCAATACAATACAATACAAAAACAAAGCAAAACAAAACAAAACAAAACAACCCTTCCCCAACCCTCCCCAAAACCCCCACTCCCTCCCCCCCCCGGAGCTTCCCAGAGCAGAATATAGGTTTAATTTAAAAAAGTTAAAAAAATTATATGAAAAAAAAGAATATAACACTAAAATATATGTATATATATAAAAATAAAAGTTATAAAAAAGCTAGATGATATTTTTTTATATTCAATTTAAATTGTATAAACTTTATCCATTAATCCCAAACAGCAAGAAATTTCTCTTGCGATTGTTCTTTTAAGAAAGCCGAAATCTTTGCCATTTCCACCAAATAAGACACTTTAAGAAACCATTCCTGCAAAGTAGGCAAAGATTCCTTTTTCCAATATTGTCCTACTAACAGCCTTGCGGCTGTGATCAAGTTCAACATCAATATAACCTCCTTTGTATCACAATCAGTAACTATACCTCATAAAAATAATTGTGGAGTGAATTTTACCCTCCTTCTAAAAATTCTCTGAATATTCCACCATATCTTGATCCAAAAGGCTTTTATATTTCTGCACGACCACCAAATATGATAATAGGTGGCATCCAAACAACCACATCTCCAACATTTAGGCTGTAGGTCAGGGTACATAAAAGACATTTTTTGTGGATCAAGGTGCCACAAAATGTTTTTATAAAACATTTTATAAAAATTCTCCCTTAAATTCTGTGCTTGTGTAAATTTAACATTTCTCACCCAAATAGTTTCCCAGGTATCCAGTAGAACTGGTTCACCAAAATTCTGCGCCCATTTAATCATACAATCCTTAATTAATTCTGTTTCTGAATCCAATTCCACTAGAACCCCATAAATTCTCTTAATATGAGTTTGTCTTTGATCCTTCACTTGCTTAATAAAATTTTCATCTTCTCTAAGGAAACCCACCTTACGATCCATCTTCCATCTGTCTACTAATTGCCTATATTGAAACCAAGAATAAATAATATTTTCATGTGCTAGCTCTTCCAATAGTTTTAACTGCCAATTTTGTCCATCCCATCTAAGTAACTGTGTATAAGACACCGTATCCATTTTGACACCTCTTTTTATCCCCTCTATCGCATGCCAAGGTATAGCCCATAATGGTATTTTAAAATCACTTTTATAATATTTTCTCCAGAACCTAAGTAAAGAGATTCTTATAATATGAGATTTAAAAGCCCGGTCCACTTTTTATTAAATATTAAATAGGCATGCCAACCAAAAAGTAAATCCCATCCCTCCAAATGGAGTATCTCCAAATTTGTTAAATTTACCCAATCACTAATTGATGTTAAAACCACCGCATCATAATATAATTTCAAATTCGGTACCTTGAGTCCACCTCTCTCACGGGAGTCTTGCATGATTTTAAACTTTACCCTTGGTTTTTTCCCTGCCCAAATAAATTTATTAATACCTTTCTGCCATTCCCTTAAATTAATCTCGTTCTTCAAAATCGGTAACATTTGAAACAGAAAAAGGAACTTGGGTAGAACATTCATTTTAATCACTGCAATTCTTCCCATGAGAGATAATTGCAACTTCTCCCAATTCCTCAAGTCTTTCTGTACTCTAACCCACAACCTTTCATAGTTATTCTTAAACAATTTTGCATTAGAAACAGATAAAATCACCCCCAAATATTTTACCTTATTAACAATTTCAAAACCCGTCAAATTAACCAAAATCTGCTTCTCCCGAATAGTCATATTTTTAGGTAGGATTTTAGTCTTATTAACATTAATCTTAAAACCCGAAACCAAACCATAATGATAAGTCAACTGTAATAACTTTACTACAGAATAAGTAGGTTGCGACAAAGTAACCACCAAGTCATCTGCAAAAGCTCTTAACTTATATTCTTTTTTGTTAACTTCTATTCCTTTTATCTCCTGCGACTCTCGAATTTTAATCAACAATATTTCCAATGTTAAAACAAAC